GTTGAGTATCAGAGTGTTCCATCTCATTTCCCTTTGGGGTTGCTGTAGGTGATCTGGAAGTCTGGTTTTGAGACTTGTTTATGTGTCTTCTCATTTCGATGGGTGTGGGGGGGTTGGGGAGGAGGTGTGGAGGTGTATGCTCTTGACGCCCGTGTGGCTTACCATCTCTGCGCTGGGAGCAGTTATACGGTGGCCCAGAACCCCCTACCTCTGCTCTAGGACCGGTGGCCCGGTGGCCCGGAAGCCCCTTCCTCTGTGCTAGGAGCAGTAGTATGGCAGCCTTGAAGCCCCTTCCTCTGCTCTGGGAGTGGTGGTGTGGCAGCCTGGAAACCCCTACCTGTGTGCTGGGAGTGGTGGTACAGCAGTCCGGAATCCCCTACATTTGGGCTGGGAGCGGTGCAACGATGGGCTGGAAGCCCCTTCCTCTGAGCTGGGAGCAGTAGTACGGTGGCCTAGAAACCCCTTCCTCTGTGCTGGGAACAGTGGTACGGTGGCCCGGAAGCCCCTTCCTCTTTGCTGGGAGCGGTGATATGGTGCCCTGGAAGCCCATTCCTCTGCCCTGGGAGCAGTGGTGCCGTGACCTGGAAGCCCCTTCCTCTGTGCTGGGAATGGTGGTACAGCGGCCCAGAAGCCCCTTCCTCTGCTCTGGGAGCAGTGGTACAGTTGATCAGAAGCCCCTTCCTCTGTACTGGGAGTGGTGGTACAGTGGCCTGGAACCCCCTGCCTCTGCATTGGGGGTGGTGGAACAGCGGCCTGGAAGTCCCTTCTGCACTGGGAGCGGTGGAACGGCGGCCTGGTGGCCCCTTACTGTGCGCTGGGAGTGGTGGTACCATAGCCCAGAAGCCCCTTTCTCTGCACTGGTAGCGGTGGTACGGTGGCCCAGAATCCCCTACCTCTGCGCTGGGGGTGGTGGAACAGTGGCTCAGAAGCCTCTTCCTCTACACCGGGAGTGGTGGAACAGTGGCCCAGAAGCCCCTTCCTCGGTGCTTGGAGTGGTTTGATGGTGGCCCGGAAGCCACTTCCTCTGCACTGGGACTGGTGGTACGGTGCCTGGAAACCCCTTCCTCTGTGCTGGGAGCAGTGGTACGGTGGCCTGGAAGCCCCTTCCTCTGTGGTGGGAGCTGTGGTACAGCAGCCCGGAAGCCCCTTCCTTTGTGCTGGGAGCAGTGGTACAGCGGCCCAGAAACCCCTTTCTCTGTGCTGGGAGTGGTGGTACTGCGGCACCGAAGCCCCTACCTCTGCGCTGGGAGTGGTGGTATGACGGTCTGGAAGCCTGAAGTGTTCTTGATTCTTGTGGTTACAAAGGTGTATACATTTGCCAGAAATCATTGAACTGTACACTTGTATCTATGCATGTCACAGCACGTAAGTTGAACATTAAAAAGAATATTTTTTCCCAATAATTCCTTTTTCCCATTCAGAAATTTGATCTATCTCCTAGAATCCTCTTTAAGTTTTCTTATAGTCAGCAATAATATTTTTTCTTCTTGTTTGATTTTTATTTTACTTAATGTATCTATATTGCATAGTTTAGTATTTGAACCTTTTTGGTTCCATTATCTGTTCTTTCCTGATATTGATATCTTTGCCCTAAAGTAGATTTCACTTTATCCCTTTATTTTCAACCAGTCTCTGTGCTTATATTTCAGGTGTGTCACTTGCAGTCACTATGTAGCTGGTTTTGATTTTTTAAAATCCAGTCCAGCAATCTTTGTTCTTTAATTGGATATTTTAGTCCTTTCATATTTAATTTATTTACTGAAATTGGATTCAAATTTACCACCTGTTTGTTTCCTCTTTGCCCCATCTGTTCTTTTAAGAAATTGTTATTAATTGAATATGTTACTATTTTATTTTCTCCTGGATGGAATAATTTGTTAATTGTATATTCATTTGATATATTATTATTCTGAATATAACTGCTTTAAATACTTCTATTTCTTTACTTTTTCCCAAGAGCCCAAGAATTCAGGGAATCTAATATGTATTTTCAATAAATTCTTCTAGATTTGCTCTATTGCCTTAATATTTTTGAAAAACTTTAAATGTTTTTATAAAATTTGAATGTTATTTTGCCTATTGTTTTTAGAATCACACCCAGAAAATTTGATACTGTTCAAGCATCTGAGGATTACAAAAGTGGGATTATCACCAGTGACATTGGAGATTTAACTTTAAGGAAAAGGGGAATACGAACATCATTTACATTTAGGAAAGTGAGGCACATGCCTTGTACCTGTAGTAAGTATATAATTTCATTTCTTCCATAAAATGGAGTAAACCTAGTATAAAAAAGATCTCATCAGTGTCTAGGAGAGCTTTAACTTCTTTACTGGCATTTTCTATATTCTGCCTTCATTGTACTTTTGATGTACTTTTCTGAACCGTCTCCCCTTAGAATTTGTATTCTTTGAAGGCATGTTCTTAGAAGGCAATTTTTTCATCTTGTTTTCTCCAAACTTGATTCTTTAGCATAGTTGGGTGCCAAGAAAACTTTCACTGACGTAATAGTTAACAGTGTTAGAGTTGTAGGACAATAACATATCACTTGTACCAAAATAGATTTTGTTGGAAGCTGGTTGCCACATTTCAAAATTACTTTTTATTAATTCCACAGGGAAGTTGGAGATGACAAATTGACATTATAGTAGATGACTCTAGGGCAATAAGCAGTTGTTTATTGTTTAGTCAGTTTTAGTCCCTAGAAGGGACTAAAAGGAACTGCTGAAAAACTTGTCAAGAGGATACTGTTTTGAATTGTGTATATGTAGGAATCAGCCTATGCATTCAAACCTGATCAAGGAGTGACGAGGATGAAAAATAAAGAAACACAGAATCAGGTTAAAATGTGGAGGGCCAGGGGGCTCTTGTCTCGCTCGACAGAGAGCCCCAAATGACTGATGCCCCTAGGCTTTATTCACTCAGATACTGGTACAAGCAGTTAAGAGTTACACAGGATTCATCTGTCTTCCACCCTCCATGGTACTTGTCTGGGCAAACAGTAGGATCTCAGCAGTTTTTACTTTTCCCCTGCAAGCTTGTCAACATGCTTGCATGCCACCTTTCTTCTTAGTGTTCACCAAGGGGGCCAATTAGGCCTCAATCTTCTTATCCGGTCTCCCACGTGTATACAAGTACATCATGCCCTGGATTTCTTGGGCTCACTGAACAGAACATTCTTTCATTTTTAAGTAATATTTTATGATGGCAGTACTAGTAAAATCCTTTTTATATCCTGGAGGTTTCCATTATAGGTGATAACTACCAACAGCTTTTGAATTTAGTCATAATCTGTAGGGAACAGGGAAAGGGGACCTTACTAGAACCTCTGCAGTAAGTCCTAGTCTCCTGTGAGCCACCGCCACACAAGGCAAATTACAGGAAAGGTAGAAAAAAGACTTTGAGAAGAAGCTGAGCTTTGGGTCTGGTCAGTGTTGCTCTGGGCGGCAAAGAGGAAAGCCCCCAGTTTACCGTACATCGGGAGAAACAAGATGTAACAAACAACTTGTGAGAGTTCAGTACATCGGTGTAAACAAGATGTAACAATCAAAGAACAATGAGGAACTGAGTAGATGAAGATTTTGTTCCTCCCAGGATGTCTTCAACTGGTGTAATCTTGTCCTGGAGAATCACAGCATCACCGGATCATTGAGGTCTCAGTTGTGACTGGAGGCCAAA